AATTAACGACATACTCAACACCGGTAAAAAAACAGTGATAATAGCCTCAATTACATCACATCTGCATATGAAGATCTGTTTGGGTTAAATACAGATATTCATTGACGGATTTAGAGGGGGTATAAGGGGTCAAATAAATAGATTAAGTGTTATTTCGAGCAAATTTTTTTTTAAATGGCCTCCAATTGGTAGTTTTATCTCGGTCTTCTGATACTTCAACCCAGTACCTACTGCGGATATTATTTATGAAAATAACAATAACTAATGTGACTAATAACACATAATTATGTATTATTAATTATCATTCAATTGTGCCATTAGATATTGACGAATTGTCGTATTGCTATTATGTACGTCACCACTCTAAAGATAAACATCTTTCAGTTTTCAACACACGTTAATGCGTCAAATCTGTAGCTTATTATTTCTTAGAAATTAGTTCTAAATTTAGTTGGTACATTGAAGAGGTTAAAATTTAAAATTACCAGATATTTTCAAAAGCCACCTGAAAAACAAAAAAAYCATTAAGGGAAAAACGGACAATTTTATGCGAAATTGGTTTTTTTTATTCTTTAAATTTCAATAACATTTTTATTCGTTGGGTTAAAAAGCTTGAAAATTGAATACAAGGTTCCCCATATGCGTAAATAATAACAGTTGGAAAATATTAAAAACACATAGGTACTTTTTTTTATAACCATTTAAAGTTTATATGTTGATAAAATTTATTAAATTGAAAATATACAAATAATTTAATTGTTAAAAATGTTTAAAACATTTAACTTTTAGTTACTACTACCTTAGTAGTTAATTCTGCGACAGGAAAAATCTAAATACTATAGACGCACAGTTTTTTTTAGTTAATTTAAGTTCAAATTTGGACGAAATAACATATTAAATATTAATATTGTCATTAATGAATTATGTTAAAACTTTATGGTATAGGTATATTGTAATATTATATATTATATAATATGAATGAAAGAGTAAGTCGTGTATGTAATGATTAATTTGGAATTTATATTATAGGTATCTAAATTTTTATTTTTTTTGAAATAATTTTAAAATTAATATTGTATAAAATATCCTAGACTGACAAACCGTCTCCCCTCAGAATAGTTTATCGTTTACAATGCCATTGAATTTAAATTTCATATCATCCATTACAGTACCTAACCCATTTATTGTAACCTACAGTACGGCAGAGTGACATCCACTTACTCGCCTTTTTAAAAATGAAGCCAATTAAAATTAAACATATAACTGTTATAGTTTATTAAAATAGAATACAATATTTTTATTTGATCAAACTGTGTTATCTTTATTGTATAATTTATTGGGATTGGATGAAATGGCTTTTAAATAAACTAGTGAGTGATATATTTACATAATGATAAGTACCTATTTGTGTTAATAAAAGTATAAAATCATCATTCGATAGAAATCAGTGTCTTATGTTAGTGGTTTCTGTGAAAGTTACATTCTGTAGTTGACAATATTATTTATATTTGTGATTTTGAAAATTAAGTGAATAGAAATGTATAATTTGTTGAAATGTTTTTCTATAAACACTTTTTTGGTTGTTTTTGTTTGTGCACGCGATATTCCATTGAAAAGCGGTAGGTGTTTCTTATTAATTTTATAATGTCTACGTTTTTATGATACGAATTACAAAAAGCAATGAGTTAATTTATATAAATTAATTCTCCTTTACAATAATTTTATCGCTTATTATGATGATGTATAATTTAATACGTAGGTTAGTACCTACCTATAATTTATAATACAATTACGAATTATCAAGTGGCTCGTTGAATACACACATAGATAAGGAAAATCATTTTTATCTAATAACCAATAACATAAAGATATTGATTAAAAAAAACACACAAATATACATAATATGTATACTAGAGGCCAAATACTGGGGGTGCTAAAATTATGTAGATGAAACAGACCCGTGGGGGCTACACCCCCCCACCACAAGTACCCATACTTCAATTTTATAATTACTATAGCCAATCTTAAATGCATTWTAAAATGCATTTTTAGAAGTTACTTGCATGAGGCACAATCTATCTCAAAGGTTAGGTAATAGGTAATATTATGTTTACATAATATA